CCCCCCCCCCCCCCCCCCCCTCCTGCTTTGTGGCCAATGGTTCAACAACCCGAAGGCAAGAAAAACATGAGCACACCCTCCCACGGTCGTGTGGGAGCAAAGCTCTGTCCTCTCGAGGACGCGTGGTCCAATGCTCTTATCATTTTGGGTGCGCGAAACGTGAGTACGCCAGACAGAATAGGGTAGTCTCTTTTCCTTTCTCACCCGGTGCAGGAACTGTACACCCCTCCTCCTGACTTCTTGGGTTCTCTTATTTACTGAGTACAATTTGTACGTTAGAAAAAAAAAATGTTTTTCATCGCTTCACACAAATCGGCGCTCACAACTTTTCTGCCGGGTAGGCGTTCCAACCCGTGGCCACACAGGAGAGTTCCTCCACCTGAGTGTATCTTGCGTATATTTTTCTAAAAAAACAAAATCTACAAATTAAGCTCCGTTCTTTTTCACCTGGTGCAGGAGGTAGTCGCGGACGAGAGACCTCAGCAGCACCGGGCACACGGGCACCGCCGCCACCGCCGCCTGCTCCCGGTAGTCCTCCTTGGCCACGCTCGCCGACACGTTGAACAGGTACGGCCGCCGCCCGAAGTTTAGGTGCACGGCCTCGCCCCTGCTGTGAAGGCCCACGCAGGGGTACAGGCCGTGCACGTCGAGGGCGGACCGGATGGCCGGAAAGGCAGATCCCAGGAGCCGGCCGTTGTGGGTCAGGAACCCCTGTTTTTTTTTTTTTTTTTGCGGCATCGTTGTCTTGTGCTGTGTTTTGCTGCAGATTCGTTTACTCCAAGAAGGCCTCTCCAAAGCGGTGATACCGCCAAGGCCGGTTTTGTATGGTAATCTACCGTTTTGCTACAAGGAACGACCGAAAGCATGCCACCGAAAGCGTTATGGTGATGCATACAAATGACAAAAATGAAAAAGACGGACGATACTCAGTGGTCCCTCTACTCCTGGAAGCACGGCTTCGGAGGTAAATTAGCCCACCATTATGTGTTCCAAGGACACGCAAAAAGAAAATGACAAAAGCGCGAGCACGGTGCACACGTACTACGTGTGGTGGTAGTTATCTCACGCACCTCCATCTTCTTGAAGTTGACGCCTAGGCCCACCGTGTCCCCGGTGCAGAACGGGTCCCCGAAGGTCTGCCCGACGCCACTCCCCGAAAAGACTTTCCCGTTGCCCTCCAGGCCGTACGAACCGCCCTGTCAACCAAGCAACAGCACAGCGATACATGGCGTGGGTGTTGCTGCCAAGTGTGATGGTGACGTCACCCGGGCTCTCGAAAAACCATATCGCCACGTACGGCCCCCGCTGCCCTGGTTCAAGCGGCGCGTCTACCACACATTGATTGAAATGCGCACATAAGCGTTATCGCAACGTTGTGTCTGAAGCATTGGGTGACATAGTTCTAAAAAATTTAACGATAAACAAACTTGTATACCATCAGAAAGAGGGGGAAGAGACAGTACTGGAAACCCTTCTCGCCGCAAGGCTGACGCCTGTCAGAGAAAACATCAGCTGTAGTAGCCGGCGACGCTGATGCACGTGCAACGTACCGTAAGCGCAAACCAAAGCGACGCAATGCTCACAAAACCACCCTGTCATGAATTCCGTAGCCGTCGCCTAAGGAGTAAGTGTCCACCTTGGTTGTCTCCGGGGTTAACCATTTGCTTCAGTTTCAGAAAAACTAGCACACAGCAATGTTCCAATTGTTGCCGATGAACCCACGAATTCTATACGCCTAGCCGTTCTCGGACGAGTTATTCGATGCCGATGCCAACCTTACCCACAATTTTTACACTCTTCAAAGATACTGAGCTGTTCCTGTTCAATCATACATGAAAAATACAATATACAAGGCAAATAACAAGATATCAGCCATTTTTCTCGGTCATGCGCTTTCGTTACGCGTCCTTCTCCTTCTCCTCCTCCTCCTCCTCCTCCTCCTCCCCACGATATCGATAGGATAGGGAAGCTTTATTGAGCCACCTTTGGCGACGTAGAGGAAGGAGCGACTGGCCATCGGTTGTGGACGAACATGCTCCGTCCTCTCGAGGACGCGTGGTCAGCGGTCGATCAACTACTGTAAAGCATCCAAGGCGTAAGAGTACGCCTTCCTTACCTCGGTGCCAGGCTGCCGGTTCATGGGGAAGGACGCGGGGATGAGACCGAGCGTGATGCAGCAGTTCTCGCCCTGGGCGGCGATGGTGGCCTCGAAGTACCACATCCGCTGGTGCCGGGGGAGGGGGTGGTTCGCACGCACGGTGCCCCAGTCCTGCTCGTGGTGGCCTTGCCCTCGGTAGCGAACGCCCAGCTTATCCCTAGCACACTTTTGGGTGTTGAGTGGACACCATACGTTAGTCGAACCGGTACAAATGGATGCTAAAAGAGCAGAGATCGGAACAGTTTCGTAATAACACCAAGAGACCAACAACCGCACAGATACGTATTGTTGGAGGGAGGAGGTGAGGTTAGGGCGATGCGTGCAACGTGGAATAGTGCATACTTTTGATGCTTGACGTGCTCCAACGGACTGTTTGACCATGCGTCTCATCTCTCTCCATCTTGTGGAGGGCTTATACAAGTCTCTTTCCTGAGAAGGAGGGTTGTCATGAAAACGCATGCCGTTGTCGGTGGACCATAGACCTTGCATCCCTACACGGCCGGGACGGAGCGGGTTTTCGCTGGCCCAGGTTACGTTTCAGAAGGAGGAACCTGGGGGGGAGTGGCAGTAGGTATTGGGAACACGCCTAGCGCACCCCTGGTGCCTTTGCCCCGCTACAATTTTCGGATTTCTTTCCCCACGCTACCTATCAGTAGAAAAAAGTAGTCTACACAGATTGTTTTAGGCAACCAAACGTACTGGATGAAGTGTGGAATCGGCAAATATGGGTTGGGGTTTGCGTGCCCCCTGCCTGGTCTTTTTCGTAACACAACTTCCATTTTTTGCGTAGGGAGTCCCTACCTATCTACAACAGTGGGCACTCACGACGGCGTGGTAGCAGGGTTGCGTAGTGTCCATCGCGGAGGGCAGGTATTCCCCGTTCTCGAACACCCCAGCTGCGACGTCCCCGTGTTCCTCCGCGGGAGGCCAACGCTTCGCCCCGCCGAGGCCGTCAACCCTGCGGGGAGAGATGTCCGGGGAGGTGTCCATTTCATCTGCCGATAAGGTGTCACTCGGCTGGTGCTGCCGCTGCCGCTGGTGCTGATGCTGCCGTCGAGAAGGAGGCCCCATGGCTGCGTGGTGGCCGGAGGAGTACATGGCGAGACGGTTCTTGAATTCTACGTTACTTTGCGCCCCGTCTCGGTTCCTCTGCAGCAGGAGGTTGTGTCGAACGCTGAACGCTTCGCAGCCACTCTGCTGGTTTTTTGGGACGAGGCGGGGAAGAGGGAGGGGGGGCGAAGACGCGGGAAATGGGAAGACACGCGGGGGAAGTACAATACGATGATCAGAGAGCTCTGCCATCAAGCCTACACCTCCCACCACGTGTAGGTCTGCTGCTCTCGCACGCCTGGATCTTCTTTCAAAGGATGGTCAGAAACACGGCATCCGACTGCACTGATAGTAATAGTTCATCTACCACAAGTGCAACCACAGCAATTGACTGCGAGTGATCCCACCCTCGCAAAAGTAACTGTCAATTGCTCCATCTTAAAGGAAGGGTGGTCTCGTAAAGATACAGGTGATATCGTCGAGAGCTTTCTCTAGACGTGCTGCCGTCGGATTCGCACCCTATTGGTTCTAGAAGCAACCGTTCACCGAGTCGGGCTAGCGGGGGTGCATCCACTCGCACAATCACGGTAGCGAGGCTGCGGTTCATGAATACTAAAGGTACCAAGAACGAACCTTGAAGAGGCCGCCTGCCCCTCCAGGCGTAAACAAAGCACACCAAATACAACTGTGCGCTCGGGCAAACGACACCCGGGATACAACATTACAGCAATAGTCTACAGGCCAATTTGTGGGAGCCAAACCACGGTGGAAAAACACCGACCAGGCTCACGGGGATGCCGCCGGCGGCATGGTTGCTGTGCTTTGTTTTCGCGAAACAGCCCGGCTACATCACCGGCGGGGCTGCATTGGAACCCAGGGTAATACGCATACATAGCTTTCAGGCAACAGAATCCCTCGAGAGTTACTCAAGTATGCGTACCACTCAGTTTCGAGCTCCCGATGTATGTACATGTATTGCCTTGTCATGGGCAACGGTGTGATACAATATTTGCGCTCGCGGGACCGTGACACAGCCCGCTACGGCTCTTTCGAACGCGAGGAAATATGCAATTCAACACGTCTAAGGCGTGTGCTAGGAATGAAAGCCGCCGACACCACGTGATGGGGACACGCAGACACGGTGCTTCTTCATATTTACTGCAGCAGCATTTCGGGCACATTTACAGAATCGAGCACATGAAGCTCGTACAAGCAGAATGTTTTCCCTGGAGCGCCAAACAGAGAGGCGGCCGAAACATTGCCGCACAGCAGCTAGTGGCAGCGGAGTCGTGCTCCAAGCCCCGCTCCAAAATGGAAAACAAACACACCGCGAGAGAGACCGCAGCTTCGTCGGGTAATTGAAGTACACTAAAACAGCGCTCCGAATTTCTGCGCTTAAACACGCACCCTTGTGAACGTGCAGTATAATCGAACAGAGGTCAAAGCGCTCACTGCGATGAAGTGGTTCACCTTTCACCCAATTTGAGTGCCTCCTTCGCCTGCTTGCTTCAGGCCAAGCCTCGTCGCGGAGCACGGCATTAGTTGGGTGAGATGTCTTGACGAGCAGCCCGATTCGTCGGGGCTCCGCAAACTGCTACACCCCCCGTGGAAGTCAAATCTCCGGAGACTGCCATTATGGGAATGTGTCCTTGTTCACTGGACGCATCATCACACTACTGCATGCCATCACTCCTGTCCACGCCTCGCATTGCCGCTTCACCGTGTGGCCACCATCCTGCTTCGTGTGCTATTGCTGGCAGCGCCTCTATTGACTTATAATATGTTCGATGACATCGTGCATCTGGATGATAGGATGGTAGCGGAGGGCAAGGACGCGGGCCGAGAGGACGGGAGGGCTCGGGGCTTCAAGGAAGGAGAGGGCATGGGAAGGGGCAAGGGCTTTCAGACGGCAGCGGAGATGAGCTTCTGCAGAGGGTGCTGCTTGGCGTGGCTGTCGATGCATGCTCAAGATCCAGGTATAGGCATGCATGGGACCGGCGTGCTAGTGTGGAACCTTGTGATCGATCAAAGTGCCTACATCATCAGCGCCGGGACTTGCGGAGTGTCTGCTGATGATGCGTCCTGTTCGCAGGATGTGTATATAGACTATTATAGCGGTCCCGGCGTTCAAATTCGTTTTCAAATCAGTGCAACACGTGGATGCATTGGTGTGGCAGTCTGGGCAGCAGCAGTTTCGTGTAGCTTTCCACCAGCAGCAGGGTTCTCTCAGGCTCTCGTACTCGCCCAACTCTCGGGACTTGGGGTGAAAACTCGTCCGGAACATTCAAGCATTGCGCCACCACGTCCTGCCGTTGCACAAAATGCTTCACGTCTGTTTTCGCTGTCGCGGGGGCGAAGTGAATTTGAGTCGGCCTCCATGCATTTCACTGCGACGGTCAGCGTTTCCAGACACAAGGTCGTACTCTACATTGCGGTACACTGGGCAGGCTAATGATCATGCCGTCAGTCTTTTTTCGGGGCTAGAGCTTGGAACGGGCTTCATCCATGACCTAGTTATACCACTTTTGAGATTTCGCTCCATCCTGTTGTTCACGCGCAGCTACTTGGGTGTGGGCCGTTCACAACACTCCCAGAGTCATCAAGGTCGAAATACGCACCTGGTTCAATAGCTTGGTATCCGCGCGATCCCTTGATATCTAGAAACTTTTCGTTATCCATACGAAAGGGTAGCTATTCAGGCCTAGCGTGGCCCTATATCGAAGCACCGTGTTGTCATGTTGTCGTGCAAGAACACGCTCCCGGGGGCGTTTTAGAAAGCGACACGTGTCAACACTCAAGGTACAGAGTGGGGCAACCGTACCGCTGAAGGCACTGTTTGTGTGTCGCCTGCTGTTTTATTTCAAAGTGTAAAAATACTTTGTATGCGATCACGGGAAGACTACCCGTTCGAGACAACCCCACAGCAGTCGAACGGGATGTGTTGGGAAGCCTTTGCAGTGAGTATGGAAGCCTTCTTTAGAGGGCGTTCTCAAGGTTACGTTGTTCTCAAAGGATATGGTGGTACCGCAGCGACTACGATATACGAAAGGGTCGTGCCTAGGTAACCCTAAATCCCTCTTAAAACTTTATTTGTCTCTCGTGGCCGTGACAAAACTACATGCACTAGCTGAAATCCGTCAAGTCAACCCCAATGAAACCGTAGCCTCTACTGCTGTTTTTTGGTTGGAAATGTTACCTTGCCCCCACCTGCCGAACGCAGACAAGTTTCCTTTCAGCGAAAAGGCGCTGGCCTCGATGAGGGCCGTCGTCACACTGGCAGAGAGTGTCCCGCGCGTTAACACGCAAGAAGCTACGGCGGCGCAGACGGCTCAACGGGTTCGAGCGAGATTTCGAGCTGTGACTTCTATGGTAGGCCTGTCGGTGGTGTTCGACTCCAAGGGACAGGTGTGTTTTTTTATCTCTCACCCAATCTTTGACCCCCCCTCCATCTTGCAAAGGGCCTTGCCGCAGGGGGAAGTGTTTCAGTGACATTTTTCACCCGAATCGTGGCTTATCGACAGCCAGGCCGACGACGGATAGTGCTGCAGTTAGCGGAGAACTGGCAAAAGAGCCTCGAAAAATCAAGCTCGAAGAGCTTGAACACAATTCGTGAGCTCGGCTACGAACCCCTACACTGAAACCTGCACAACGGCCATTCGTAAAATTACCCTACATAGGAACCAAGAACTCCTGCCTCGACCGAAACCAAATAGAGATTCCTACGTGCAGCTTTCACTTGATGTCTCCACCCCGAACGTTGTTCGCATCTTTCTGTGCTAGGCGGAGGCCAAGGACTTCTCCTTTTGAGTTGAGTGATCAACCTGCAGCCGTCCGCCGTCAAGGTTGGGATGGTGCCCATTGGGCTGGAGGACACGGGACAATGCCCATGGTGTACCCGCTAGTGCTCCTACAGCTGGAGTTGGGCGTGAGGCGGGAGGACATGCTTGTGACGCAGCGGGGGCTGGCTCACAACGCCATGGTATCCGTGGCCATCACGTGGAGGACGCAACGGCTTTGTCTACGGGGACAGTCATTAAGCATGGCAGGAGCCAAGACCGTCGCAACTCGAGGTTGAACTCCGGAATACTCAGCAAAGTCTCCTTCTTTCCTGATGGACGCTTTCCTGGAAATGCCTGAAGAGGACGCGTAATAGTCCTGTTGCTCTCGTTGCTGACCCGACATATCTGGATCGGGTCATCCACGACAGGTAGATGCCCGACGTGGTGGCATTGGAACCATCGTGTTGAGGAGCACGAGTTTGCCCAGCTTCGGCGCCTTCGCGATGAACAGAAATCGAGCGGCACCACACTTCCAAGCGGGCGGTGATACTGCAAGCCATAACGGTAGAGCAACACCCACCTACGCGCGCTCAAGCCGAGAGAGAGGGGGGGGAACAGTTTAATGATTGATTCAACGAAGCACGGACAGGTTTATTCGCGAACCCGCCCTCTTGCGTTGTTGTAGATTCGCCCTAAAGCGGGGGCACGTGTGGAAACATCTTCGCTCGGGTTCTTTCTTGCAAAATTTCGTGGGTGGTACGTTGTACTTGTACTATTTGGCTTTACCATGGAGCCCTTAGCTTTCACGGAATTGACCACATGTCATGAGAAATCTATTGGGCTCCTTGTTGCATATTCCCGGGTTCTGCACTGCGTCTATTTGTCGCATCCTTGTGCTATTTGTCTAGCGGGACAACTTGGAGCCTTCTAAATCAGCCGACCACCCCCGGTGATGAGTTCTTCAACTGTGGACAGACGCCGGTTATCGGGGGTTCTTGTGTTTTTCGGGCTTTGGGCGGAGGTTGTTCCCAGCTCACCTGAGCTCTGTTTGGAAGTGAGGCGCAACGTATGGTTGTCCTGTAGATGACGTATCACGGGGAGAAGTAGTTCCTCGTCATGCGGATGGATGTGGTTCATCAGGATATGAATGACGCTTAGTAGGTGCGTCGTTTGCAAATATACACTGCTCCTGGCCAGTCCCAAAGTTCAGTTGTGCAAGGCAGCGGTGCAGGACTCGAGACATTCCCAACTTGGGACATGGGCAAGTAGTTTGCTTCTACAGTACTGCGGCTATTTGGTCATGTTTGAGTGCGTGCAAGTTGAAGAACGATCATTTGTGGCGGTCTCCGTGGTGTAGAATGTTCGCAAGGGGAAGCAGCAGCAGCAACAGCAGCGGCAGCAATAGTACGATGAGGTCGGTGTGGCTGTCCCTATTGTTTCCACCTACAAAAGTATCCTGTGAAGTTGGTATCTTCACAGTAAGCGAGAAAGTTTCTAGCACTGTGATGGGCAGACCGTTCTTCCTGTTGTTGGGCTGTAATGTCGGTGACCAGCGCTGTGGCGAACGCAGCTCATCGGTATGAATTGGTAGTCCTGACGACGAGGGTTTCGGAATGGGGCAGTTGAAAGAAGGGGCCGCCGAACACAGGAGCGTGGCCCTCTAAAAATCATTATTTGGCAGATGTTTGTGGTTGAATGGGAGGCGTCAACACAGCACCTCGACGTAGGAACATTGTTTCATATGCGGCACCTTTCGTTGTCTCTCGTACCTCTTGCACCGACTGACTGACCGAAGGGACAAACTCTTCCGTGGCCATGTTTCATGCACTTTGCGCAATGCTCTACGCATGTATGCAACCTCTCGAACCATACGGCAACAACGAGGCAAGATGTCAATGTACGCCATCGTCCCGTTTGCATCGTCAAAACGTCAAACAATCCGTGATGAGCATACTTGCGGGCGAAGGCCCACAAAGAAAATGTCGCGAGTACTGCCGTTTGAGCTCTGTACCCGTCAGTACTACCATATACTTTATGTACACGGAGGAGCTATTGTAGTGGGCAGCGAGCAGTGACGGATGAATACTGTCAAGCAAACGTCCTACAAGCGTAGATCCTAGATGAGATACCACCTTCACACACAGCAAGGATACAGGCTCAGAGTTATATTTATTTCGCGCGAAGCGCGAAAAAAATACGAAGAGGCGTATTCGAATGACGCGTCCTTTCATTGTCTTAAAGTTTGACAGAAGGAATCCATGTGTGGTTATTCAGTGCCCAAGGTTGCGGGTTCAATCCCCGTCAGCGCCAAACTTTGTTTGCACCTTCCTTTTTTTCCCGATTTTTCTTCACGATGGGAGGGCCATCACCACCTATTGGCGGCAAATTATCGAGTAAACCACCGTTTACGCGAAGGAAACTGTAGTTTGTTGCTGTACACGCCTGCAAAATTGCAGTCTGCGCGAAACATGGCAGCGTTTCTCTGTCTCGCGTGTGCAGCTTCAGAACAACAACATGTGTTATTTTCTACAGGAGTAGAGTATTCTTCGTACTCGCCATCAGAACGTGACGTCTTCTTGAAACTATTAGTCATAAACTCTCGCCCCCTTGTCGTGTCGTGCTTCGAACCAAAGATACAGAGAAAAAAAACGGTATCAACATGATAATACATATGACTCGCCGAAACCATGACGCGTAACCGCTACTGCTGTGTCGCACGCTTCAGGTGCAAGCTACTACCACAGAATAATCGGTTCCTCCCTGCATCATATTGCTGGGCGGTTTTATACAACAAGAACACCTCATCCCTACCCATGGTCTCAGTCCCAGGATACAGATCACATTTGGGGGTACGCGAAGTGAAGCATTTTGAATCAACGGGGGTGTTCCAAGCGTGATACTACGGTCCTCCCTCGGAACGCTCTTGACAGTCCCAGGCTCTTTCTTGAGCTGCCAGGCAGGTCCAAACCTGCTACATACCCCTGCCACCACTGCTTTTATCCACTCTTGCTCTTTCTCTCTGCATCCGCACTCTTGCGGCAGTGGTTTACACAAGGCGAGCAGTTTCGAAAGCACGAAATGGCGGGGAGGGTGCCGCTGGCAAGCAGAGATCATGCGCTCAACGTTTATCGGCAGCTGCTTTCGCTGTCGAAACGCTTGCCCTCGGGACAGCAGCGTGATGACGCCGTGCAGAGCGTCAGAGAGAGCTTCCGAGCCAATGCTGGGGTCACAGATCCTTCCAAGGCGAGTCGAGAACGTATTGATGGTGTGGATGCCCTTTCAACGCTTTGTACGGTGCAGCTACACCGCGGTAGTGGTTGGTCCTTGCGAATCCCTCCGCTTCAGTCAAAAATAGTGGAGGTTTAACATTTATCCATTCACCAACTCACACCTCGTTCACCTCCGAGCAGCAGCACAGAAGTGCACAGCAACAAGCTAGTTGCATGTACAACATGCTTGGTGCCATTGAGTATGTATAAGGTTCAACATTTATTGTCGGTGAGTGTCCAACCTTAACCCTGTGGCATGAAAGAGACCTCTCCTTGGTTGTGTGACCGCCGGGGTACTTGTTCCACAGCAATCAGTGCATACCGGACATGGCAACAGCAGTGTAGCAATCATGCAGAGTATTGTTGAAGTAATTTCCGTCACAAGGGCTACATGGTCAAAACTGGTGTCGTGTCCTGGGTCGGTTCGATGGCGGCGGCGTGAATCGCCCCGCAACCCGTCAGTTTTCCTTACTAATTCAATCCTGGTCTCTGAGGGAAGCGACGCGCTGTAAAGCGCGTTGTTAGTAAACTTGATTTCGTAAGTCGCGAGGGATGGGATTGCTGTACCCTTCTCGCGATAAAAACATCTCAGGCAGGAACCGCAGGAGGGGGTCCAACCCCCCCCTCCTGTGTGACCCCGGTTGAGTCGTGCAGCTAGTACAAGAGGAGGATAGGAGCCAGAGGGGCCGAAGACAAATTCCCATGATGGGAGAAAAAAAAAAAAAACGTCAGCAGGAGATGGGCGTGACCAGCAGTACAAAAAGCGCCCGCAATTCAGAACTTGGCAGTCGAGATATTGAGCCAGCCTTAAAAAGCTTAACATCTTAGAAAACTTGAGCACCATTTATGAGCTCGGTTAAGAACCCCTACACTAAAACCGATATAGCGACCATTCGTAGCATGACCCTAGGAATGCAGTAGGAACCCCCAGCCTTGGCCAAAACTAGAGGTTCTGAAGTGCGGGCGCTTTCTGTAGAACGGGACTGAACTCTGCGATTCCCGTCGTAGTGGGCCCCGACGTAGCGCTGGGCAGCGGGGAAGCGAGGGGGTTCTACCCCCAAGCTGAGAGCAGCAGTACTCGCAATCTGCAGGGGTGGTGATGGCCTCTCTTCGCACCAGCAGAAGCGGGTTGTATTCGGAAATGCCTCGCGTCTATAGGAGAGCGCCCAGGTCACGGCTACAAATCGTCACAGCCGTGACTTCGACTCGATTCTTCAAGCGTACTGTTCTAGTCTCGCTCGACATCCTCCCTTGATCGCCTACGCGCCCGTGCTTGGGATGGCGTTCGCACCCTCTTGGCGCTCACCACGCCTCTTACTGCTCATCCATGGTGCGGATGCCTCGAGGGAGAACTCTAATGTAGGAATGCTCGGGTATTCACCCGGTGAGACCTGTCCTATGTGGTGCAGTGTCGTCGCGCGAGAGAGGCCAAAACAAGACGAAAGAGGAGAGAGTGCCGCATCACTCAGCACCACTACACGCAGGCGCCGTGCATCAATCACGGCGGTGCCTCCTCCGGTTCCCCAATAACTGTGCGACATGAACCACCCGCGAACCGATATGCCCAAACCTATCCGGAACGTTCTTCTCGCACGTGTACTGTCAGCAATGTAGCGTCCGTAGACAGTCCATTGTGCTTGATAAACAGAAGCTTCTGCAGCATCTACGCTCCGCGTGCCGGCTCGCTTGGTTACCGTTCTGTCGCTTTGAAGCTATTTTTTGGACGTTCTCTTGGTTGATCCGGCACAAGTTCCTGGCACGTTGTGCTCGAGAACCAAGTCGCGGCGGCCCTCCCGCGTACATGGATCTTGATTAACGATAGCACCCCATTCCCGACCCTTGCCGGAAATGTACGCCTGCGCAATACCGTTATGATAAAACAATTTACCCATTTTCGGCTTGGATAAACATGTAGCACCCACACAATCCACCGCCCCATGACACGCTAGCTTAACCCGTTCCCTCGACGTCTCGACGCCCGCGCTGCTACTCCACGGTATTCGTTCGTGCCTAGGCGCATGAGCTCTTGCGTCAGGCCGAGTCAAGACTGGGATTCCTTAGGATGGCAACGCCCAGAAGCAAGGTCGGCAGCAAAGGATCCACGCGTGCCGTGTACCGGGACGGAAAGGTCATGGAGGGGGAGGAGGCTAGAAAGCTCGACAAGGCCAAGCACAGTAACTGGGACGGGCGGAACATGGACCCCGACAGCGTGCGGTATCACAAGAAAACCTTGGCCAGGGCGGGCTTCGCGAATCATCGACAAGTGATCGGGCCTCACGGATTCTGAGAAGGATTAAGAAGAGACAGAAAGGTAGTTCTTGGTCCATCTGCGCCGGTGTGCTTGCAGAGGCGTATGCATACTTCCGCTGCATTCCGGTTCTTGTGCCTCTACGCTTCCACTGCCGCTTGTGTACTTGTTTGCTTTGTCTCCTTTGTTTGCGAGGTCCTTTGCACACAAGGCGGAAACGGCTCGTTGCTTGCAAGCCGAGGTATGCTACCAACATCGTCGTAACTGCACGACGTATCGCGCGTTCGGCGTCGGATGCCATGCAGAGGCTCACTCATTGGCGGTCGCGGCCTGCGTACAAGATTAAATCCCTCCAAAGCTCAACATGTGTTGGCCGCCTATTATAAATAGCTGGTGACAATAACCACGCGCAGTACCGGCGTATCAAGCGTCGACAGGGCTCAGCAGGGTGGTGGTGCTGTGTCCGAAAGAGGGCCGGCCGCCAATACTTGCACCCCGATATCGTCCCAAAGAGGACGTGGTCAAACGCGCTCCTCTCAAGTACGGCGTTCTTGAGCAGCCGCCAGGTTGACCAAGCTCGAGAGTATGTCAATGCGTTTGACTGCGCACCAAGGTCGATCAGATGTGCGTCATTAACACGTGTTCACTGTCCTGATTTACAAACAAGGCAGCCGCGAAGCACTATTTTGAACATTCGAAGCTTGCGCCTGATCCAAATCAATGTGCGGGCGTCCAACAAGCGCATGGCAGCAGCTTTGCTGTGGGGCCAGGAGGAGCCAACTCCCAAAACTCAGATTCACATGTCCAGCACCGTGTGCTAAGGAGGAAAGTCGTATAGCGCAACCACACCAGCAGTAACACGAGGCGTTACGCTCACGCCATAGCATCAGGGGCCCTCCAATGCATTACGTACCCAATCCAGTTATCAACGCCCGTCGCACGTATGTTCTAAACACTGACTGTATACAACCCTCGTACTAATATTCTGCCATATTTCTCTGCGTGCCTGCAAATGAACACCCATTACGACGACCAATCACCGCGAAGATTTTAAGCCCTGGGACAGCATCGCTGTGGCGCTTACTGCCCCCCCGACACGACCACGGCCATCACCACCACCACCACCACCACCACTCTGCCTCCTGTTCTTTCCCCCCCTCTCCCGCCCTCCGCCCCTCCCGCCCCCGCTCCCCCGGCCGCTCTTCTTGCCAGAAGACTGCTGAAGGGTGGTGGACTTAGGCGTCGCCGCTACGGCAGTGGTGTCCTCCCCGAAGCGCGCGATACGCTTCGCCTTTTTTTCGGCCTGCTCGGAAGCCAGCCAGGCCATCTTCGCCGCCACCTTTGCCTTCTTTTCAGCGTCGGGGTTCACGTAGCCGAACTTTTCCTGGCGTGCGGCCCGCTTGGCAGCCTTCAGGGGGGGGGGGGGGGGNCACGGTAACATACTAATCCCCCGGTCGCCCCGGTGGTCTAGTGGGTAGCCTCGCAGCCGGCTAAGGGCCAGGTCATGGGTTCGAGTCTCGGCAGAGAGTGAGTTTTTTCTCGCTAATTAAATCCTGTTCTCCGTTGGAAGCGACGCGCGGCATAGCGCGTTGTTAGTAAACTTGATCGACTTCATAAATCGCGAGGGAAGGGATTGCTGTACCCTTCTCGCGATAAAATATTTCAGGCAGGAACCGCAGGAGGGGGTCCAACCCCCCCCCCCTCCTATGTAACCCCGGTTGGGTCGTCCAGCTAGTACAAGTGGAGGATAGGATAGGGGCCAGAATGGCAGACGACAGAGTCCAATGATGGGAGAAAAACAAACAACAAAAAAACAACTAGGAGCTGGTCCGGCCAGACGAAAGAGTGACATACAGGGTGAGGAAGCCATGTAGACTTGTGTCACAGAGCGGACGACGATGTAGTGTGGTCGTATGTATCGTCCACCAACTATCGTCAACATGGGTAGGCATTGCGCGCCGGAAGGGGAAGTGATGACCGCGAGATTATCGAGCGGGCACGGTGGAGGGGTGGCGTACACTTATGAACACTGGGCAACTGGCATCAAACGCCATAGCATTCTGGCAAGACCGTGCGAGCGGAGGCAGGAGCAAAATCATGCGCCAGCTTCAAAGACCACAACATCACACTACCACCAAGAATAGCAAGCACCCACCAACGGGGAACAAACTCACCTCGGCTTCCGCTCTCTTGGCAGCCTCCTCCTTTTCATCGACGATGCCGAACCGTTCCATGCGTTTTTTCCTCTTGGCCTCCTCCTCGGGGTTGAGCGACCTCTTGGTGCCTTGCTTACCGCCCGCCGCCTGCAAGCAAAAAAAACATGCCGGTGTTGCGGGTCGGTTGAATACCGAAATGGGTGGTAAAGGGAATCGACACAGAAACAAAAATTCGAGAACACTTGCGAAAGTCGTCTGGTTCTTCCGCCCAAAGAGATGGCCGCCACAACAAGAACCTTTGAACCGGCTATTGTGCTCCTCAACCTCCCCTTGTTATTCTCCCCCCTCCCCTGCTGGTATCCTTGGCTCCATCACATCACCCCACCACTGCTGTGAGCGCTCCATCCCTCAAGATCTTCAACCGCACCCAGACGACACGTATTTCGCCGCACCGCGGCACTCACCGGCTCCGGCAGGCCGAACTTCTCCCGGCGCATGGCCATCTTCTCCGCCACCTCGCGCTCGGTCACCGGAGCGATGCGGCCAAACCTTTCCACGCGCTTCGCCAGCCGCATGGCTTCCGCAGCGGCGGCAGCATCCGTGGCGGTGACGACAGCAGGAGCGGCGGTAGCCGTGTCAGCAGCAACCTCACCGTCGGCCGTAGTAGAAGCGGGTTCTGCCGGGGCGGCGGGTGTCGCCTCCTCCTGCTCGTTCGTGGCACAGGCAATGGAAAATTGGAGTCGGATATCTCGCGCTAGTAGTGCTGTAGATGAGACGCGCTGTTTTAACCCTGGGCAGAGGTATCCGCTCTCGCCCGTAACGCCGGAGCGTTGGAATATTCACGACTTTTGCAACTGCACACCCCAAACCTCAAGCGTTCACCAAGACCTGCTCATGTTAGGTCGCGTTGCCTGCGACGCACAGGAGGAGTAGACGGGTGGCGTGGGTTTCTGTTGCGAAATAATGCTGCAAGGTCGAGGTCATGGAGGTTTGATTTTATGCCTTGACGGGAACGGGCACAAGAGCCACCGATGGATAGAGGTCAGCACGGTCCAAATGTAGACACAGAAACAGCTACACCACTTGGTAGCCTGGCCGCTGGAGGAGCCTGTGCCAACACACAACATCCTCCAGGCGCACAGCAAAGTGCGCGCTGTTGCTACTCTGGAGCTGTAAACAGCAGCAGCAGTCCCTGTGGGCATTGAATGCAAGGAGGGGTGAAAAGATAGGAAACACTCACGGCGGTTGTCGCAGGCGTGGCTTCCACCGCGGGTTCTGCCGGCTCTGCCGCGGTTCCATTTCCCGCCTGCATTCGTACCACGGGTGTGCGGACGATAAATAGCAAGTTGAGAGGACGGGGGTGTTGTCTGACTATTTAGGTTACATTACAACTTGCGCAAAAAACAGCTCAAACTGGATACGTACAAGTGCATATTAGTGCATGTAAGCGACGTTCGTGCAGCAGGAGAGACGTTTGTTATCAAAACAACGCCACAAACCTCGGTTGCAGCATCGCCGACAGTCGGTGTAGGCATGCTGATAGCGCCAAACTCTTCCTCGTCGAGGGCCGCCTGCAGCCGCTGGGCCAAGTCTGCCTTGTTGCCCTTGACATCCAGGCTCCTGCTTGCCAGCTCGGCTTTCAGCTCGGAAACCTTACACCATGGATTAATTGCAGAACACAGCAGAGTCGGGTGGACGCGGTGTTGGCACTACACTGCAAAGTCTCGGCTTGCACCGGCGGCAACCCTTGATGAGTTTGGAGGCCGCACTGTGGATCCTCTGTGAACGAATCGGAGGGAAGTTCTGGTCACGCGCGGAGTGCGGAAACACCTTTCGTATGGTAGGTGACACCTTTTGACACAAAATAGCTGGCAATTCTTAACCCAAACCAAACACCTGACTACGACACGACTTCGCGTCAAGATCAACCAGTGAAGCATCTACTGGTCACGCGTAGATGACGCTTTCTGCCGGAAGCATGGCTCCGAAGAACACTCCGTGAGCGTCCCCAACGCCAACCGCCGACCGCCCTATCCCTATCCTGACCCAAAATTACGAGCAGCAAGCAGCAGACGTTTATACCCACCTTAAGCTTCGACACATTGATTTCGCTCATGGTGGTTAACGAGCCAGCAGAGGAGGAGATCAACGTCGGGTAGACGCTGGGAGGGATCGGGGCTTCCGTGCTTCCGTCGGCCTACTGACTGTTGTGCGGCGCGAGCTCGCGTGCGAGAACGGGGGGGCGTGGTACCAAAATATACCAAGAGCAGGGGGCACCATTTTCCTTCTGGAAACCTTGTTCTCCGTAGATCTGACAACCTCCGTAAGGACCCCGCTCCATCTACCATCTACCCGTCCGGTGTCTGGATACACAGCGAAGGGACAGAGGGGGTGTACGGGTGATCGCTCCTCGCCAAAACTGCATAAATATCTTGGGAGCATACCTCTCTTTTGGATCACCTCTACTTGCTCGCTGCTGCACCGAACAAGGAGCCAGGACAACTGCTGCCCATCATCGGCATGGTGGACATCAGGCCTCCAAATCTATCCGCAGCTCGATGTCAGCACGACGAGGTGAAAGGACGCGTCCGAGATTCACCCCATGGCTTCTTCCTCCAGCTGATTCTGTGTCGTTGTTGCTGTTAGGGTATTGGGGCAACGGGATTACGGTTGGTTTCGATGTGTACGTCGAGCTTCATACAAACTTTGCCACCAAAACACTCATCCTGTAGCAGCAGTGGCACATGCACACGCTTCCTTGTCATTCACGGTCACGCGGGATACCCTCTCTCCCGTGAATGTTGCGTCCTGATCGAAATGCTCATAGATGGATGAAGACCATTCTACTGTGACGGCAACCGCGTCCACATCATCATACCAGAGCGGAGGGAGTTACAGCAGTGTTGCGGATACCCACCACTATCGACAAGGTGTGGTATATAAATCCTACGACTGACTGCTGTGGTCTGTACAATAGTGGAAGGGGGTTGCATTCGCTGTTGACGGCCACGCTTACACGCTGATATTCACGGAGTACCGGAAAGTGAGCTCTGCAGTATGACCCTCACCACACACCAGCAGCGTTGCCAGCATTTCTTGCAACATGGCTTTGACAAACGCCTTCGTATCACGAAAGCGAGGAATTATGTGTTGCCTCCAAGCAGCAATACGTTCAACAGCATGGGCAATTTTGCCTACAGGTCGTGGTTGTGCGGACAAAGGGAAACCCCGCCCACGAGGACCGAGAGAGCAAACTCTTGAATGTGATCGCTGCCAGAGTAGGTGAAAGTTGGCGTTCGAGTGCACCACGCGCGGAGAGTGCATCACCACATTCATCCCGTCAGCAATTCAACCCCCACCCAGATGACCATCTCGACTACAGCCCACAAGCGCCGAGAAAACCAATGAGCAGAAACAAATGTTCTCCCGCAATCTACCGCGACTGCAATCCCCGTAGAAAAGTACCCAATTTCCGTCCATCGTACGTGCTCCGAGCGTATCTCACATTGTGACCGTTGCGCAAGATCACCTGAACAAGCAAGTGCGTGTTGTTGTTGTTGCTTGTTGTTTTTCTTCACATTAGCTCGTGTCAGTTGCTAATCCCAAAATCTAGCAAAGACTCGGTCCGTGGTCACAACAATGCTAGAGCCATCAGAAGATCTGAAGAACACACACACTATTAGCAAGGAAAGGGTACACAAGCCCGAGGAGGTACACCTGCAATCCCTGCAGCACGTTTGCGTGCTCACAACTGAACTACACGCCCACGCACTACAAATCGACTACAGCAGCAGCATCACCCCCCTTGTCCCGCATTTAACCAAAATGAATGTTTGTCGACTTGCGGGCCGGTGAGTCGCACGCCCTCTGCAGTGGAGCCATCATTTCACCCACTCTTCTTTCGACCCACTGTTATTTTTCAGCGGGAATGGGTCCTGCCCGTGCGGAACAATTCGCACCTAGTCAAGGCCACGCCGGCGTTCAATGTTCGCCGCCCGCCCCGAGGTTCCCCAGTGAGTGTGGTGCTTTAACTTGGTAGGTGACTGTTTGTAGCAGTCTCCTGGACATAGTGCACTTGCCTGTAATCTCGCGGTGAATGCTGTTTGATTATGTTATTTTGGGAATTCCCTTCAACAAACGGTACAGATTTCTCCAGGGTCTGTCGAGGACGATGGATTCCCTAGTTTTACGTTGGCGTCGTTAACCACAACAAAGTTCGGCTGGGCAACGGGAAGGGAAGGCAACCCGCAAAGAAAAGCCGATATATTCCGCGCTGTTGGTTGGCCGTCCGCGGTGGTGGCCTGATCGTTGACATCTTGTTCTGTTTCCTACGCTTTTCGTGGCATCAGGAACGCCAAGACCGAGCGAGTCCTTGATGGCCTGCCACCGATACTCGCGAGTGGTGCGGGTGCTGGCCATCCTCGATGCGATCATTGTTTTGTGCGGCGCTTCCGCCTTCACGTGAGAAACTGCGATGCTCTTCGTCGCAACAAAGGAAAGGGTTACGAGTGGCTTCGTTTGCCGCCCAGGCTGGCTGTAGATCACCGATCACGCCTCACGTGTTGGGAAGTATTTATACCGTTTTCTTATTCTATTCAGGTCACTTTTCGTTGCGTATGAAGCACTACACGGATCCACAGGGTATCCGTCTGCAGGACCTAAGTACAAAGGGTCGACGAGGGGGGATCACGCCCTGTTTTGAAGGCGGTTAACGTCGCGGGCGTAGATTGTGCCATCTCGCGAGCTTGATTTGGTGTGGTGAACGTCTTTCTTCCGCAAAGTAGGGATTTGCAGGCTTCATAGAGCAGGAGGCCTAAAGATAATATTTGGGCGGCCGATGTACCGCTACCCAGGCAACGACTATTACGTACCGACCGTTGCGCCCAAACTCAAGGTCATGGGATGCCATAGGTCTATGGAGTTTGACAGGAAGTTTTGGCACCTGCATCTTTGTCGAGGGCACTGAGTTCGGCCGCACCGTCCTCTCCAAATGCTGATCGATCGGCACCATTCTCCCTCAGGCCTTTAATCCTCATGATATGGGGTCCGATCGCGGGTTACCTTGCGTCCAACTTTCGATTAAGAGCAGCCTTCACGTTCCTCTTCTACTACGCCCTGAGGATTTCTTGGGACATCGGATGGATACTTAGCGGCGGGATAAAGTGGTGAGAGGCTACCCAATCGAGCTCATGTATGGTAGACCGCGTGTGTCTACTACGCATGAACCCGACCACTGGTGACCTACAGCACCAACGACTGGCAGGCTGTAACATGTGTACGCACGCGCCTGCACAAATTGCTGTTTCATGATGTGCACTGCCTAAAGAAGCGTGTAAATCTTCGTCGCAGCTGCGGCTGCAGCGTTCGTGCATTCTAAGGAATTTGATTTCAGCAGCAGCAGCAGTAGCAGATGTTCTTACACCATCCCGCCCGGCCCTTCAAGTACAGCCCCCCGTCCTATCGTTTCGGAAAGTCGATTCAGTCGGCTGCCCGCGCCCCTTTTCTCGCGTACCACACGGCCGCGAAATCCTCGTCACAACTGAACGCTTCCTTTTTTCGTGCCCTGTTTTTTCTGATCGACATATCACGCGTGTGAACCTTACGGCACTAACGGCGGTGACACCCCCCGGCAGGGTTGTTGTCTGGGTGTTTCTGTTCACCGATGTAGCCGCATCGGGGCTGGTGTACTTCTTCGTGGTGCTTCTTTGTCGTTGTTCCGCCGCTGAGGTGGAGCATCTGCGAGATCCGAACACCGCGTGGGCGTCGGCGTTCTTCCCGCTCTCCGTCGGTGTCACGCCATTCGGGGGATCTCCGGACGACTAGATGGATAGTGCTTCACTGGCACGCTGTGGTTTGGCCGTTTAATCCATGTTATTGCGTTGTTGCTGTTGTTGTTTGTTGGGGTTTGTGGTGTTCATCTTGTTGTCTTCCTTCACAAGAAAACAGTTCGGCCCGCTATCTCGTACGCCGTGTTCCGCGTGAAAACCTGGAAACGATGGAAGTATCATAATGATCTGGCTTACGGCTCGAGATACGCGTGTGAAGTGATTTGAAAACTCTTAAGTTTCATCAAGACCGGTCCCAAAGCACTCGAGCTGTCAGGAAGACGCTTGTGCATGCGTAGCTGGTGTGTCTCGTGTGTGTGGCGCGCGCTTTGTAGGTGTACATATTGGCCGTGTGGTAGGCTACAGATGTGGAGACGTCCAACGATTTATTCTCTCGGTTTCTGCATGCTCGCAGTCTTCGACGCATGGTGGCGCACCTTGTACAGTGTCATCATCATCATTATTATCGGTTTTCTTTGCCCAGTATTTCAAACTTCAATGTAGTTGCTCTTGTTTTGGTGATATTTTTCCCAGCTTGTTCATGGGTTCATGTATGGCTACCGTAGAACAACCACATCCCATCAGGATGACGTTCGCCTCAGGAAACACAGGTGCGCTCGATGTCTGAAGTGCGCTGAGTACTTTCTCTCTACTGCACTAGGCTTTCCTTTATTTTTTGTGTGGTTTGCTGTTTATGCCGTCACGTTATCATGAGTCGGTCACCATGTTCTGTGTTTATCTGTTCTGGTAGTTAGGCGTGCAGGGTATCAACGTACGGTAGGCCCTACTTTGTGCGCGTGGTGAGATTGAATGTGACAGATGATTCTTGACGACAATGTGAATGAGTGCGGTCTAACGGCCAAGGAGTAGTGTATCGTGTTGTTGTGGCGAACGCGCCAACACTGCCGTGGTCGACTCAATCAAGCACAACCCACGAGCCTACCACCCCAACTGGGTCCCCACTCAAACGGTAGCCAGCTTCGTTTTTCACGTACTCTGCCTGGCCTCGCTCGAGCTGGGCACGATGACTGCCACCGAGCGACTACCCCCCCAGGTCAACCCGCGCCTATCCTTGAGTGCTCAACGGGCGCTGTAATAGCGGCCGTTCGGGTGTAGACGCTTGACCGTATGGGATGTCCATGCTGTCGTCTTTTTCCACAAGGACCAGCTTATCGTTCTGGCAGTCGGGCATGTCTGCGATAGGCATCGTAAATCATGCCACGAAGTGTCTCCGCCCTAAAACTCAACAGACATCCACCAACACGAGTTGTACCTGAAGAATGCAACATTACTATCAATAATAAAGACTTGATGAAAAAGCCTTGCCACCATCGTCTTCTTCGTTAGAGTTTCCGTCTTCCATGTCCTCCTCGCTACGGCCACCCTGCCCTCTTCCCCCCAGCCCAGTCCCCCCGCCCCCAACGTCCTTGTCATCGCCCCCCCCTCGCACCCATCGCGGTGGGACCAATCTCCAAGACTCCCTCGTTGCCGCTGAAGTAATTAGCGTCCAAGAGGACGGCTTATGGCTTTTGTCCGGACCCTCTAAATACGTGATGCAAGCATCTCCCGAACGGCCTCACGGTCGTCCCCATGTGCCCCGGTGGTGTGTCGCCGACGATTTCCAAGCTAGTCTACCCCATTGTTATTGTGATCAGCACACGCCGGCCATGCACTTCAATAATTTGTTGCGTTCTTCCCACTTGTCGATTTTGTCCGACTTCCCCAGCATAATGTCTACAGTTGCCGCCCTTCGTCAAACGTCGTCCTTAGCCTCTTGGCCTTGGGAATAGGGTTGGGGTAGGATAATGCCCCCCAACCCCCCCTCTAGACTTAAGTGGGTTGGCGCTGTTGGCAAAGCGCTGAAAAACACGCCACCCCAAACGTAGCCCCCATACCATAATGGTGGTCGAGTGGATCATGTTGTGCGGGGTGGAGAACCCTCCCTCCGCGCAAGGGGGATGATCGCACCACGTTGTGATAAATTGGTCAAGCACCCTCGAGGCAGTTACACAGTGCTTACAACTGTTTCTGGAAGTGAACACCAAAAAATAAATTAAGTCATGCGCAGCTGTCATCCGTACGCAAGGAAGTAAGCACAAGATGCCGAACGCCCTTAGC